TTTGTTGAGTAATCCGTCAATAGTTGAATTTTGAAAATAAACTATATTTTTGCCCGTTTTTTAAGCGCAACAAGCACATGTCTAAATTTGTGAAATATCAAAACTCGATGTTTGTTCTTAGTAGCGTGACATCTCTTCTATTCAATAACGGAAATCACAAATCGATATCCTCTGATTCATCATTAGACAGTGAGTATATCATTTTGATGCTATAAACAAGAAGGACTTTTGTGTGATCTGCGCAACATCGAAAATCGGAAATTCAGGTATAGTATCAGGAGTATGAAAATGTAGGAATTCATTGTTTGCGCTTCAGCACGTTTGCTGTTTGAGAAAAAACTATCATAAATGATAAAAAAAAATTATCTTTAGATGATTCGGGATTCATGCATTTTCTACGTGCTAGGTAGCTCAACACTGCTTTCTCTCTCATCCCTGATCGAGAAACTTAACCCGTTTTTTTATTTTTTACTTCTATCAGTCTTCGATGACAGTGCTAATCTAGAGAGTCACGAATTAAAATCAATAGATCGATGTCGGAACTCAACGCATTATAACAGCCCATTGCTAGTGACCCATGAACTTGTACTGATAGAATTAACATTTTTTTAATATAAACTTTATTTATCAGTTGAGCAACACAGGCACAAACACAACAGTTGAATTAAATCGATTTTGAAAAACCTGACAATTGTGTGGATGGCTGAGACCGGTTTCGACCTTGCTAAAGGGTCTCATCAGGTGGCTAGTTAACGAACGACCACGACCGGCCTCGGCCATCGGTAGGAAATGGAAGTAGGAGATATAAAAGTTTCTCCGTGTGTTAGTTCGAGCTGTTCCTGTTGTTTTTCGGAGATGGCCTCTAGTCTGATAAGCCACAGTTGGCCACTGTCGTGAAGTTTCTGACAGGACTTGAGCACAAACTTGGTGCCCGGCGAGAAAAGTACTTCATCTTCCTCGCTGCCACTGATGGGAGCATACGGTCGCATCGGTCGACCTGTGTCGAGCTGTATCTCGAAAATGACCGAGACCAGATGTGAATCATTGTCGGATCCATTGCCAGCAAAGATTTGAGCAACTTTAAAATTGAAGGATGTCGACAAGAAACTCGCGACCACCACTACTTCGCCAACACGTTTCGTGAGTTTGTCAAGTTCAAACACTGTCATTTGTTGACCACGATAGACTGTCACCAAGACACGGTCCTCTTCTGCTGGTTGAAATTGACGGAGACAATGCATGATATTGATGATGATCTGTCGATAGTAATATATATTATCGAGCCGCCGTTGTCGGAGACTGAGATTAAGTGTTCGATGGAAAAAAGTGGCTTGAGTGTAACAGATGAGATCGTTCTCGGGCTGATACTTAATCGAAAATTCCCGTAATTGATTTGTTTTTGTTACTTCTTTTGTTATGTTGTCATCTTGAAGAAGTTTATGTAATTCCAGTGGAAATCTTAAAATTAAAAATATTAGATCTACACTATTACCACTTCACATATTGACTTTTTCTTTCAACTTACGTTTTGGTTCTATTGTTAAATCCTTCTGCATTCACAAGAAAATAAAGTAAATTGTTGTTTATAACAATGGATTCATATTCGTCATTCGATAATTTTAGATGAAGATAATGAGATGATTCTTTACTTTCTTTTACAGTACGTGGACAATAAAATGGTCTTGAACGATTTATTATTTGAATTTTAGGATTGAGTTTATTATTATGTCTGTTTTTCTTTGCGATTGATGTTCGTGATACAGATGTTCGATGCGTATTAAGAATAGCTTTAGGCGTTATTTGAGTAGTTGAAAAAACAACAAAAATATGCACATAATCAATGAGAAAATATGATAATCTTTTTAGAATTTCAATTACTTACTTTCAATGATTTGATCTTCTCCTGATGTTGCTCCAAATGAATCATTACCTGCACATTGACCTAATCATAACAGACGAATGTCTATATTTTATTTTGCAATTAGTGTATGTATCGACTTACCATTCATATCTGCTAATAAATCACGCGGTATTTCTTGCAATAATTGGGTAAAATTATTATCTACTAGGGAAATGTCTTTAAAATCGTCAGGAAAACATGAATCGGACAAGTCAATATTTGTTTCATCTTCTGTCTTGGGTATGACTGTTCCAACATGGTTTAAATCAAATTCACGTAGTGTAGCAGCAATGTCCTTTGGATGAAGATAAGGTAAATTTTTAATTCCACCTTTAATCTAGACATTAAGAACGTTCATCTCTAACAAATTGTACTGGACAATAATAAATGAATAGTTGAAACGGGCGTCGTTTTGAAACAATTTCATACGATTGGCATCTCTAATAAAAAGAAAAAAAAGAAGAAATGAAAGAAAAATATTAATCAATAATAATCTATTAAAAATAATCTTCTGTTTTTTTGAAATTATTATCTTGTTGATGATTTTATTTTCTAGGTAAAAATGTAAAAAAATTCCCTCTTGTTTATTAATTGGAACTAACGTTCTACTTCCTCATTATCTTGGAGAAAAAAATGATATTTCATCAATGATCGATTATACAGGCCGTTTTTAAAGTAAAAAACTTGACTATTTACTACTAACCTTTAGTAAATTCTTCGAATTGATCTTTGCTAGTAAAAGTATAATCTAAAAAAAAGGGAAAAAATGTCATTATCAAAGACAAAAGTATAATTTGGGCGTGTATATATGTACCATCATCATTCAATAGCAGTGAATCGTTAATAGGATCACTATCATTATGAAATTTGAGTGATGTTTGTATTAAAGAATTAATCGTATTTTCAGGAAGATCGTAAAATAACTAAGCAAAAACGTACGATAACTAATGCAATTCAATCAAATTTTGATTCAAAAAAACTTACCGGCCTCTTACTAACATCGAGACTCGTTGATTGTGTATTATGTACTGAAAACAAAAAAATGAAAATTAACATTAAAGATCTATTCTTGATTATAATTCCTCACTTCTCATTACTTACCATTGAACAATTGATCCATATCCGTCTTTGGCATTGTAAATTGGTTTATGTTTAAAACAGACATATTTAAAAATTGTGTGTGAAAAAATAAGAATGTTAGAACAGAATTAATCTAAAATAAAAAAAAATTTTAACTTTTTTAAAAAAAATGAAAAATATGTTTTGAACAACGGAATAGAATGTGTTCATTGAGAAGAAATTTTATTTATAAATTCTTTCTATATTTTCTCACAATAATGTACTATAAATGATTTGTTAAATCACATTTATGTAATTGTTGATTCTGACGATAAACCATATCTAGCTCAAATTATAGATATTAAAATTTTTAGCCATCAGGCTGATGTAAAATTATATAAACCACCATTTCCAAAACTATATTTCGCATTAAGTAAACAGCAAAAGCGTTCTCAAGTTAAAATCAGTCTGTTGCCAGTCATGACTGAATGGATATGAAAATGTCGAAAGAAAAAGATATCGAAAAATAAATGCCGAAGCATTTTTGGTCGAAGAAAAAAATGTCGATCATATAAAACGTCGAAAACTTTAAAATGTCGTTATTAAACAATATTGATTTTTTGTAAATCAAATACAGAACTGCTCTACCAACAAATTTCAATTAATATTCGCTCTGAGTATGGCGAGTCAACATCCAAATGTAATAGCAGTTCTATATTCGATTTACAAATACTTATTTCCAACTGCTCTACCAACAAATTTCATAATATTGATTTTCTTTTCTTTTCTATTGTTCATTAGAATTTCGCCGATTAGCTAATAACTTTCCCCAATAAGTTATTGTGCGAGTGAACATTCTAGAATAGACATCGAGGAAAGATATCTTTTCTTGATTCCAACAAAGGTTATCAACAATTAACCGACGTTTGAGCGACCCCGACACTTGAGCGACCGACATTTGACCGACCGACATGAAATCTGAGAGAAGTTGGGTTGTGAATAGTTATTGTGTGATCTAGTTACAGATGTACAGTTTCGCATGATGAAAATATGTTTTGTGTGAAACTACTTTTCGAACTCACTGGCATACTGCCCACACCCCCACCTCCCACGACACACTGCCAAAAAACATTAACAACACGATTTATTACTTTTTAATAGTTAATCTTAATCATCAATACATCTGTTTTTCTCTTTGTTGAATAAAATAAACTAAAATTTTTACCTTTCTGATTCATTCATCTTTCGACATTTTTTTTCTTTGATGTTTTTTCCGTCGACGTTTTTTTTTCGATATTTCTTTTTCGACATTTTTTCTTTCGACGTTTTCAATGCATACCGTCATGACTCATGCCTTCTATGGCAAAATTAGTCTGTTGCCGGTCATTTGACTGACTGTTTTCTTATTAGGTATATTACTCAAGTTGGAAAAAACCAGCTTTCATATATGTATGTAGAGAAATCCGAACCATCAAAAACACATGTGTCTTTGCCTGGTGACTAATTTTGAGAAATCTCCATTACTCGTTCAATTATGTAAATCTTTCCTACCTTCTCTCGTCACACTACTGAACCATCTTTAATGTGATCCTTCAGTAGCTATGTCCTTTTCCCAGGAAAAACCGGCATTTCAGATTAGTTGCATTCGCTGTACGTGTTACGTTTCGCGTTTTTCACTTACAGTTCGGTAAGTAACTCGGACGGATGTGTTCTTCAAATAAAAGTCAGTATATTATGTAAGTATGCTTTTACCCCTTGTTTTTTATCCTGTTTTCTACATCGAATCGATTAACTGTTAATTTATCGTTTAAATAAATACAATCTGATTTAAATCTCAAACATGACTCGATTTGTTCTGAAGCGCGAGCGCAACGTAATCTTAACCAAAATCACGACGAGACTCGAAGAGCGAACGCGACGCGCTAAAATTTCTACGGTCGCAACATAATCGTTTAAAATTGCATCTTGACAGAGGTCAGTAGAAACTTTAGCTAAATTAAAACTTTAGTGACTCAGGCAAAGACATTAAATATTATCCTTTGCTTTTTATTAGGTCCAGTTATAAGAATTCCAACTTTCACCAATTCAATCCTGTACCTATAGGCGTTATTCAATGTAAAACTACATACGCGTCAACAAGAACCACTAAATTCGGATTTTCATGCCAAATACGAGATCAGTCAACTGTAAAAGGAATATATTTTATAAATATATTCGTATATATATATATATTTTATAATTGATATATTTTATAAATGATTTGTCGAATCACATTTATGTAATTGTTGATTCTGACGATAAACCATATCTAGCTCAAATTATAGATATTAAAATTTTTAGCCATCAGGCTGATGTAAAATTATATGAACCACCATTCCCAAAACTATATTT